AGCAGTAAACTACCCGTGACGGTCAAGTACTCCAATAACGCACATATTCTCTCTCTGAACCCAAAGGCTTTTTACAAAAGAAACTGAATTTCGTACTGGAACGACGACGCCACCCTTTTGGAAAAACTTGAATTTTGTACAATATACGAATAAATTCGACTGCCATAAGTATAGACTTGTTAAAAAATTATAAAATATCGTTCTGTAAATTCTAAAAATTTACGGCTGACATAAGCTCCATTGGTAGGGAGATGCCAAAATCGTCACGTTGAAAGGCATAAGGACAGTCGTAGTGTCTGGTGTCTTGCGCACCCTTAACACCCAATGTGGGAAATAAACTAGATAGTAATATTTGGACGAATATTTTATGGCGCCACAATACAGCAAAGCAAGTAAATGTAGTTTACGCTTTTGCTTCAAATATTAGATCCTTCTGAACATTGATAATATAAAGTTTGTGCTATAAAAGTATTTGGTAATCTAGAATCTAGGTTTTCATTCGCAAATAAATATTCATAACAAATGACATCCTCAATCCCTGGTTTTCGTTGTCAACCTTATAGACTTGTTGTTAAGTATGTTTTGATCCGTAAATAAGCAAATTGGGGCCGATTGTATTCATAATCTTGGTAAATTTGTACGATCACAGCAACTTTTATTGGGTAGCTTTTCACATACAAAAACTCTGTTTGATTTTACATCAATATATTTTTATATTTCACTATTACGTAAGAAAATCTAACTATATAAAAGTATTAAAAATATGTTTTGAGTAAATGTTTATTTTCTCTTGCTGACTTTTTTTTTGTTTTTTGACAATTTCTCATGAACAAGTCAATAAAATTTGCGTAGGCGTTTTGTTTCTTAGAAAGCGCACTGCATATATAACATGAATAAAATATTACAACCATTTGTATTGCTCACTGCTTCGTGAATATGAAATAAGTGAATAATAACGCTAAAGAAGCAAAGCCAGAACAGGATCTACAAATGCAATTTTCTACACAGTGAACCCCGAGTTGCGATCAAACCAGCTTATACGTAGGATTTACTTCGACAGGGACATTTCAAATCGAAATAAAATTTATTTCTTGGCTTCAATTTGGAGAAGACTGATTTTAGATATTGACTGTATCGCTTTATACAGATTTTTGGAAGTATAAATTATTTGTGAGCTCTAACAGGTTTAGTAATGTAAAAGATATATGAAGATCCATGACAAGGTGTTAAGTCAAACGTTTACACCTTGTCATGGATAAGATTGTTTCTTTCTTTGTCTTTGATAAAACCTATAGTCTACAACCTGCACTGACCTCTATATAGATATATGGATATCAGTAACAACCCGCGATTGCCCGTGTATAGTTCCTTGGAACAATTAAAGAAAAATAATTATGTAGTTATATGATGTCTCAAGATTTTTTTTACTTTATTTGATTGGCAAAGTTAAATGATCCCGTATTAAAATAAAGACTAGCTATTAGATATCATCGACTTTTTTTACTATGATATCGATACAAAAGAAAGACAAGAAATTCGTTATGAGCAAAGGCACTTGTGTTTTATACTATTAGAGGGTTTAACTACGTCTTTTAATTGATGTTTTTAAGTTAAAAAAACTTACGGGAAGAATATTATAATTTAATTACTCGAAGAATAATTTTATAGTAGCGATTTATTTAAAAAATTACACTTTAACTATATTATGTTTTAATAAGGTAATCGTTTTTCTCTTATACTCTCTTGAATTTCCACATCTATTCTGTACCAACGCGTCTATTACAATAAATAACGCCGTGGTCATATCTGTTTGCTTACCAAATTGTCCTATAGCGTCAATAGGCTACAATGAAATTAGTTTAAGAGTGTAAAACAAAAGCGACAAGCGGTAAAAGTTCAAGTTCCTGAGTTGCCTAGGTAAAACAAGCCGGGGCAGGATTAGAAGAATTTGAAATAAATAACTACAATACTTAACAAGGTTTAGAGAACAAGTCAACTATATACACTTATTGAACAAAAATCTTTAGAAAAAGTACTGGTTACTAAATCTATACAAATAAATAAAATTGAAATGTCTGTTTGTAAAACCAAAATAACAGCTTTTTACTGAATGCATATATGAAAGTATATACGGTACTAAAAACAAAAATACAATTTTTAAAGATTTTGTCTGTCTGTCTGTCTGTTTGTTCTGGCTAATCTCCGAAACGGCTGGACCGATTTCGATGGGACTATCACTGCCAGATAGATGATGTTATAGGGAGTAACTTAGGCTACTTATATTTTAGAAAAATAATTAGGGTTCTGCGCTACATAGTTAAAACCCTAAATTACACGCGGGCGAAGACGCGGGAACAGCTAGTTTGTAAACATATATAACATGAAACTGCATTGAATAATTGATCGAAGTTTAGAAAATTAAAACTTAGGTAGGAAACTTAACCCTTTGTACTGGGTTTTCTAACGTATACAATTTAGAGATGATTTGCACCTTTTTCAACTGTCTTCAAAAACTAGTAGGTACTTAATTCGACTGTATGTTTTTTAATGTGTGTTACCTCATAACTTTTTTCCCTGTGAACCGATTTCGATGATTTTTTTGTTTGAAAGCTGGTGCGTCTCATATGGTCCCATATAAATTTGACGACCAGTAGTTTTTGAGTTATTCTTAATAATCTATATTGAAGTCGGTTGTACAAAATTTTTAATTTTACCTCTCGTTCTAATTTGTATTTGTTGTGAGCGGTATGTCTGTCACGTAGGCGTTTAATACGAGAAGGGGTGCTTAAGGCTCTATGTTTGTCGAGAACTTGTTGCAGTTTTGACACTAAATTGCCGTCGCTGTTATACACGCAACCATGTGTAGTTTTGTCTATTATGGACACGCTACAGGGCTACAGGAGAAGTAGTTGAATGTCTCAAGGAACATACAGTATCAATACTGAGAGACAAGATAGTGTTGCAAGGAGACAACCCCAGATTACACCTCGCCAGCTAATAGGAAGATTTCAATCCCAGCACCAAGGGTTTAACCGTGACCAAAATGGCAGGAGAAAAAATCAAATCAAATACACTATTGTGATAACATGGATTCAATCGTCACTCTCGCAGACCGCTTAGAGTTCTGTGACGTGGAAATTGATCTGGAAATGATCAGTTTCAGTGGATACAAAATCAAGGTCTTTTGTGTGACCTGCTCAGTACACCGATCTCAATCCCATTGAGCATGTTCGACAGAAGAGTTTTTAGAGATCTTCCCCAAAATCTCAACACTTTTTATCACCTCTCAAGAGTATGAAGTCTTTTTTTAACTAACATTATTTGCTTTTTCATTCTTTTTAGTTTTTCTTTAAAAAATATTTTTTTATCTGCCTAACTGACCTTTTCTTAAATTAAACAATTAAAATGGGTATTAAATTAACTTTATATAATATGAAAGAAAATGATTACTGGCATGAAAAGCCAGAAATCTTTATCCCAATACCGTTTTTCTTTTTTTATAGGATAAGGGTGACAAACGAGCACACAGTCCACCCGATAATAAGTGTTTGCTGCGGCCCATAGACATCCTCGCCTCGTTTCCAATTAAAATGAATTTCCAGTTCTCTACACTAACCAAAACACAGTAGCATTGAGCTGTTATCTCCAGCTGGTACTCTGCAAAAGTATGGTCCTTCCTCGGTCGAGCTGACCCATTCCTGTTACATTCAAAATATAGCTGCAGCGTGGCTCTACCACTTTAAAACTTCTTGGATTGTCGAAAGTATTTGCCCAATATTCACGTTTAGGGGGTGGCAATTGCAGTAACAGACCAGTCGTGTTGGTGCAGTATCGCGTCACTTATTTATGTATGTGTCTAGGATATACTGGACATCTATTTCTCTATCCTCATTTGCGAATCAAATGCAGATGCGTTGTCACCCGTGAGGACTAAGATAGAATGCCTCTTTTCCAGTAAAAAGGGTCTCCGGTTCTCTACACTCACCATTCGAAACACAGCAGTTTAACACTGCTATTTTACGCTGGTATTCTGTGAGAGCGTGGTAATTCCCCGGTCGAGCCGACCAATTCTTGCTACAACTATACTACTAATATAGCTGCAGCATGGCTCTACCACGTCTGAAATTTGTTAACAATTCAAACTTTTTTGTAAGTTCCCCTTCTACCTGCTCTCCTCCGTAATTGTGAAGGTATTAAACTAGTCATAGTGATTGGAGACAGCAATTCATAAACATTATCGCAGTTTATTTTTAAATGCAGAACAATTTTTGGAGGTAGATACAGTTGAAGTAACTTTGAAGTATTTATTCGGATAAAATTAAAATAAAATTCAACATATATTACCTGTATTCATCTTAGGTTAATACTTAGTTTGAGTGCATCCCATGAACACGATAACCTAAAAGATCTTTTCAACATGCCCTTTTTTCTCGAAAACCAACATCACCAAGTCGAATCTTTATTTTTTTTTATTTTTCTTTGTTTCCTACATAGCAATATAGAAATAATAGTTCCCTAAAAATTATGAATATTTCGCCAAAAGCTTATTATTTAACCCGCCATGAGCGTTAACATATGCAACCAAAATAATGATGCAATTTGACGATACTGTGCATATCGAAATAGAAGCTATAATCTTAACGAATATTGCAATAGGCGCATGCACCAAACGGACAGTCAGCTTGCTGTTTATGTTTCAGAGTTCTATTAGCTTTGAACAATGTTTTGTTAAACATAAATACAAAACAGGACCTACATAAACGTAATGATATTTTACTCCAAACATGAATGATAATATGGAATGAAGAAATTGTACTAATAAACGAAATATATCAAGACGTACGTAATTAAATGAAAAAGAGCACTTTGAACTGTAATATAATTATGGTTTGACCACAGAATAAATAATAGTACAAGTTTGATTTTAAATTCACCTAATAATGTCCTTAAGACCGAATTTCGGTCTAGGTGGTTTGTATAAAAGTAGAGTAAAAGTAGCGATGAAGGGACGCTTGAGATCAAAGGTATGGTGGCCCCGTATCGATAAAGACGTAGAACAATTAGTAAAGACCTGTAAAGGTTGTACGTTAGTGGGTTTGCCACACCCAACTGCACTAATGAAGAGACGAGAGTTGCCTGCAGTTCCATGGATAGATGTCATAATGGATCTAATGCCAAGTAACGAGTATCTGTTAGTAGTGGTCGACTACTATAGTCGATACAAAGAAGTAAAAAATTACAAAAACATCACAAGCTTACAGATTATTAAAATGGTAAAAGAAATGTTCAGTAGACTTGGTTATCCTATTTCTATCACCGCAGACAATGGCATGCAGTTCGTTAGTGAAGAGTTTCGATCTGTCTGCAAAGAATGTAATATTAAGTTATTTAGTACTGTACCATATTGGTCTCAAATGATCGGCGAAATTGAAAGACAAAACAGAGATATTTTGAAACGTCTTCGTATCAGCCAGATCGTGAGGAAGGATTTAAAAGAATGTTTGTGGGAGTATCTTCTAATGTATAACAGCACCCCTCCTTACAGTTACCGGGAGGTTACCGTCTGAACTGTTTTTTTTTTTCAACAAAAAAATAGGGATAAAATTCCATCAATAGGTGAAATAAATTACAAACAATCATTTAGATTCAGATATCAGGGATAGAAACAAAATACAAAAAAAAAGGAAAAGAGTATGTAGATAGGAAACGCAGAGCAACTCACTCAGATATAAAACAGGGAGATAAGGTTTACTTTTACATGGAAAAGTGGAAAAATCGAATAATCTTACAACAAATTTTAAACCGACGCCACACGTCGTAGAGAGTGCACGAGACGGTGACTGCACAGTACGCAATAGTGAAACGAACCAAAGATTTAGGAGAAATGTGATACATTTGAAGAAAGTAGGAGGCGATTGGACGGCTATTTCACCCGATCAGAATGAAAAAGAACAAAATCTAGAACAGGATAAAGAAGACGAAAATATGTAATAATTAATACAGACAATACTAATAAGCTGCTTTGTGATTGTTATGAGTTATAATGAAAAAAAGAAAAAAATCTTGATAAGAAAGAGATGTAGTGTTTGCATTGTAGTGTTAACAGTAAATATTGTTATTTGTTTTATTTACTAATAATTTACCATGCACAAATACACAAACATACATTTATATATAAGTCACTGTCTCGAGCGCACCGCGTCAGTTACACGAGAGCCTCGGGCGAGAGTGGACGTGTTTAGTTAAGTGCGGGCCGAGCCTGTGTTACACTACAATGATTAGAGAAGATAGCAGACATTACAGTATGCTTAAGATATTATGTTATTACCATTTTGAAATCAGTTTTTTTTCTGCAATGTCGCTATATTTATATTGGACGCTGAGAACTACGAATTTTGAATGTGAGTGTACGTAGAAACAATGCGTATCAAACGGCGTGCAATATCAATAACGTAAACGAACCTAGACTGTTACAAAAAAGAGTAACATTATTTGTTGCTCATCAGAAACAGAAGAAACAAAAAATAAGTCTATTACAACGCTTAGACAATAAAACATGAAATAATCATAATGGCATGGATGTTATTTTATGCGGGTCATAAGATATTTAATTTTACCCGATATAACACTTGTAGCAAATGAACTGTGCATTACTGGTTCAATCGTTTTAGTTCATCATTTGCAACGAACAACATAAGTGGTAGGTGCACATGTGTGCGTCCGGCAGTAAACATAGAAAGAAGAAAGATGTGTGTGTGTGTGTGTGTGTGTGTGTGTGTGTGTGTGTGTGTGTGTGTGTGTGTGAGTGTGTGTGTGTGTGTGTGTGTGTGTGTGAGTGTGCGTGTGTGTGTATGTGTGTGAATCAAGAAGTTGACAATTATCACTTTAAATGTACCCGGCGTCTTTCTTTTCTAGGCTGTGCTGATAACTTTAGCTGTGCTGACAGTATTGCATGCCAGCACACCGCCTGCAACTTTACAGGGTGCAGGTTCAGCTTCACATGGAATACTGTTCTCATTTCTGGGCTGGGGCAACACACTGCCAGATCCTGACAGAACAGAGTTCATTCTGATAAGCACGATCCACTGACGCTACGAAGAGAGTTGCATTCCTTTGCATTTTTTATCGCATTTACCACGGGGAGTGCACTAAGGAGGTTTCGGATTAACTCTGGACACCAAATTTCACCAATAATCATCTTCACAAAACTCACCATCCACACCATCTAGATGCTTGGTGGTCGATGACCACTTTGCGATTTAATAGTAGTTTTCTTCCTCTTACGACTTTTATGGTATATCGTTCGACACCAGCGAGTTTTCTGGACCGATACGACATTCAAGAAACGAGCTTACTCCTTTTTAAAAGGTTGGCAATGTACCTGTAATTACCCTGGTGTCGCAGTTGTTCATGGATGGTGGTTGAAACCTACCATCAGGTCAGCCGCACGCTCGTTTGCCCCTTCTACTTTATAAAAATATATCACAAATTCTGGAACAAAATAATTACCTAATGTGTTTCAAAGCACTTTAAATCAATACCTTAAGTAGAAAATTCGAATGTTGAACATCACAGCTATATATTTTGTACGTGATAGTGCCATGCTGCAGCTATAGTTGTAGCACGAATGTGTCGACTCGACCGGGGAAAGACCACGCTCTCACAGAATACCAGCGTCAAATAGCAGCTTAACACTGATGTGTTTCGTATGGTGAGTGTAGAGAACTGGAGACGCTTTTTACTGGAAAAGAGGCATTCCATCTTAGTCCTCACGGGTGACAACGCATCTGCATTTTGATTCGCAAACGAGGATAGATGTAAATGTCTATGGGCCACAGCAACCACTTACCATCAGGTGGACTGTGTGCTCGTTTGTCACCCTATCTTATATAAAAATAAGAAAAAATATTATCCATATATAGCTGTGATGGTAAAAATTTGAATTTTCTGTAACTAAGTGTTTCACTAGAAAAGTCTATCAAGTCAGATAAACCTGTAGAATTCACGGTTCACCTTATGATTAGCGATTACTTCATCCCAAGGACACCTTCAACAAACTTGAAACAGTAAGGCTATAGATAATAAAGAAGAATATAAAGCTATAGATAATATAGAAGATAAATAATAGAGACCTCTGAGAACTAAGATGGAATGCGTTGCCATCTCTGTAGACTAAACCAATATGCCACTCCTACAAAGGATAAAATTATCCTCAAAAGTTTTACCAACGTTAAATACTTTCCTCATTTCTCAAATTATTAAGTACATTAATAAAAGTTAAGTACAACTCACGATTATTGCTTTAAAATTCAATGTATTCATAAAATTCAATTTCGCTCTAAAGTTAGCTCATATTAACGCTGCGCTAAGCTTTCCAACTTCAGGTGACGCTATTCCCACACTACATACTATGACAATTAATGATATAATCAAGTTGTACTTGGAGGTGGTATTTACTTATTTAATTACTCTTACTATGTTTAAAAAACAATCTTCCCTGTTTCTGTTGTAATGACGAAAATTATAATGTTATTTTATAACATCTCTAGTAACATATTTTTATCTAATGTAACAAGAATTGCCCATTAGAGTAGTTTCATAGAGCTCAAGTCTTATTATACCCGAGAAAATAATCGATTACGTTTCGACTCGATTGTGTTAAAGTGACGTCAATATTGTCTGTGGATTAAAAGTTAGCTCTTAGCAGTCGGGAATCATTCAGAGACGCGCCGGGGATATTTGCCATAGTTGCCACGTTTGGCAGACGGGTTGGCAACCGAAGTATCTTTTATTCTGAGATGTTATTATGAAAACGCTGATTCTGATCCTGAATCCTATGACACACACGGGTTGATATGGGTTAGTGGAACATCTACTAGTTAGTCTGTGGACGCGACGCCGGAGTGACAAGAAGGTTTGTGATATATTATGTTATTTCGTTATACTGTGGCATTGATTTAGTTTACTAGAAATTGTGATATAGGAACTATGTTAATGAGATAGAGACACGTGTTGCTGCTTCTATGACTTTAATTATACTGTTCTCTATTCTTAACTCAACTCTAATATATATATAATCGTGGGGGCTATACCACACTACACCTCCCACCGACAAAAAATAAAAAATAAAGTTATCTATTTTTTATCCAACCTCAAAACTATTCTAAGCATAATTGATGAATAATCTTAATTAAAATTTAGTGGAAATTAAGTCTAAGTGTTATAAATACTACAATCTTATGTATACCGAGATTGAGCAGGGCGTTTGGCAACGCTCTATAGTAAAAATCGCGTATTCACAGAAGTATATGACATAGGCATAATTATGTATAACATAATAGAATATAGTATTATTATGTTTTGATTTTCGCAAACATTTATGTTATTTTTTCTTAATCATTCATCTCAATCATCATCCTTAATCATCAAGACAAGTCATCTAGTTAGGACATTTAATAATACATAGTACTCATTTCATTTTCATATTTCTTTTCACACTTCAATACTTCTCTTTATGTAGGCCCGGCGGTGCGCGTGCAATGTAGCAGCGCACCGCCTGGCAGGGTCGCCATGTGATATAGGAACTATGTTAATGAGATAGAGACACGTGTTGCTGCTTCTATGACTTTAATTATACTGTTCTCTATTCTTAACTCAACTCTAATATATATATAATCGTGGGGGCTATACCACACTACAAAATAAATATTGTTATTGTGTTGATTAATTCTTTTATTTAGAATTCTAGGATACACTTTAGAGATACCCTTACACTAATGACCCTCCTCGGCTCTATAAAAGACATTAATATCGATATTTCAGATAGACACTAATGTCATTAGGTTTAACAGTTGGTATGAGCTGTACGAATAAAAAAGCCGAAGTGGCAATGGGTCGGGCATAGAACCGACAAGCGATGGTGAAGAAAGGTTCTCGACTACTGTATGATATACGGAATAGAAAATATATAGCACGCAGATGATGTCGTAAGATAAAGCCAGAAGGTTTAAAATTATTAATAATTTATTTATTACAATGAACCAAGTACTAATCCTACGATCAATAATATTATTTAAAAAGAAACTAGAATAATATTTTTTTTATAGAATAGGGGCAAACGAGCATGCGGCTCACCTGATGGTAAGCGACTACCGCCGCCCATGGAAATTATTTAAAAAGAAACTAGAAGAAAAAAAAGAGTTTCACAAAGTGGCAAAAATCACAAGTCTTTAATAAAAAAATATTTTTTTATTACTTTTGCGCATCCAAAGTAGTTCACTTATTAATCGTATTTATCACGCTCCAACATTCTCACTGGACAAGTTTCTAGCGCGTTATTTAATGAAGTTAGTTTATTAGTTGTCGTCGGTGTAGTTGACGCAATTTTAACGTGCTTCATGAAGTTTATGTTGTGCATAGCTGCTCACTGTTTTTCATTGTTTGCTGATAAATATATATGTATATTTATATAAATAAATGTGATGACGGTGTGTACTGAAAGTGACAGCACCTTAGTTATAGATGCTAAGAGTATCTGAAGACAAAATTTAAGCAAAACCATAAATTA